TATAGGCTTAATATGGTTGTATGAATATATACGTGCAAGTATATAAAACTTACTTTGAAAAGCCAAGTGTAATTAACTTTGAAAGAAAAATGTACAAGTCAAAATATTAAAGATAATCCTCCAACAAATACAGTCCAACAACTAACTGCTAAATGTGTTCTGACTTCCATCTTTTCTAGCCTTTATTATTGAAAATGCACGTTTGTACATTGATATAATTTAAAATAGTTTAGATTCTATATGAACATATTATTAGATCAGCACATTGGGACTACAGCAATTCTTAATGACAGTGGTTTTCAAACACTCTAAATTTAGGAAGAAAACTTTTCCCCTTTCTCTATAGTTAAAATTATCCTTTATACATGAAGTCTGGAGACAGTTCTAATGGATATTTCCGAGATACACATTTAGTTCACATAGGGAGTTTCTCATCATTATCATTCTGAACTGAAACAACTCTAATACTTTTATGAGTCCAGACTGTACAGATAAATAAATAGTAGTGTACAAGTTATCATGAAGGAAAGGTTGTTAACTGTGGTCTTTATGAGGAGAACTATGTATGTGCGTGTTTGGTGTGTGTGTGTGTGTATTTTAAGTATTTTGTAAATTGGTATACTGTAAATATTTGATCACTGGAAAGAAATAATATTTTTATATCATACCTAGTATAGAATAGTAATGAATATTAGACCACTGACAATTCATGAAGTATCAGAGATGATCCTATCAAGCTCTTTAAAATATCCTGATATGCCAACAAAGCTGATGCATTTATATTCAAATTGCTAACTTAAAAACTCACATCAACACATTGAATTTCTCTTAGAATATGCAAAACTGACAAATCTAATATCTGCAAATATTAATGTACAGTAACTGACACCATTCTTTTGCTCACTATTAAGAAATTGTCCATATTATTTGGTTGCTATTATAGCAATATTTTAAAGTAAGCAACTTATTACAATAATTGATCAGTACATATAACACAGAGAAGCAGCATATATTTACAAAAATCATGCACCTATAATCAATTTACATACTGATCATGTTTTGGCAGAAAAAATTGCCTTTTGGACATTTAACTCCTTGGAAGAATTTGATATATATTATAGATAATGGGCCTTAGTCATTCCTGGTGTCTTAGCTAAGAGAGATGTGAAACTTTTGAATCACACATTTCTATAATACAAGCAGTGTAATAGCACATGAATTATAAGTTTAATCTTACTGGGACCATGTGAGTAGATACAATCTGCATATGTGAAGCTTCCATCAAGAAGGCTGATGGTAGTACATGAGAAGCACACATATAAATTGTTGGGGATTAAGAAGCTAAAGTGGTAGGTGATTATATTACACATTATATTATTATATTACATTATATTATAAAGCTACAGTAATCTTTTAGAGATGGAGAGGATTCAGGCTGGGAGAAGCAGCTAAATAATTGTTTCTCCCCAGTCTGAATTAGATGAACATCCTAGGTGTAGAATTAGGCAGTTTGGAAAATTCAAGGCAGGTCAAGTTTTTAACAACTGTTTTGAATAAACCCTGATTTAATCCTTTTTGAAGTTGGGGTAGACCTAATCAGCTGCCATGAGTAATTACTTGTTATTTGAAGGTGTGTGTTTTCATAGAAATTTCAAATAAGCAGGTCTATCAATTGTAAAAGGCCAGATTTTACATCAAAGTCTATTTTTGGAAATTATGTCAAAGGCTGAGTTCAGTCAATAAAGGCCCCATGCATTATACCACTGGATTTGGCCATTTTTAAACCACGCAGTATAATATACAGTGTATGTCGATAGCTGATTCTCCTTTCTTGATGCCAGCATACTCATCTTCTAAAATATTTTAAAATTTAATTTACCATAATAATTTCCAGAAGAGATGCCCTTTATAAGTTTACAAATTGTACTTAAAAGTATGATTGGCAGGGTTAGACTTTGTTCCATTCTTATGAATGGAGAAAATAACAGGTAGTATCTCTTCAAGAAACAGGCTATTCTATTCATTTACATTAAACAGCATCTAAAGCTAAGTTTGAACAGTCATCATTTCTTTTAATCAGCTCAGAGGCTATATGATCTCCACCTGGGAATTTGCCATTTTCATTTGGAATATCAGTTTGTGAACTTCAGTAAAAATGACTGGAACCTGTTTAAACAATACATCCAACATTATCTCAGGAACCAGCACAGCATTCCGTTTGACTATATTTTAAGGTGTCTTTCTCAAATTTCAGTTTCAATGTGACAATCTATGTTTTTTTTTTCTTTCTTATTTAAAGCATAGTGTAAAGCATTAATAAGAAAGAAAGAAAAAAATATAGACACCAATCCATTGGTAAGGATGGACAGTTATTAATTCTATAAACTCTGATTTTCCAAAAGTGCTTTTTTTGTTAGTACACATTCCCTATCAAATCAATGCTTGGATTTTAAACTTCATTACTAAGAAGGTGTTTTTGTACATGTTGCAACAACTTGGTACAGCTCCTTATGTGGGTTTAAAGTTGTTAGAAAAGACTGAAACTTAAGAATCTCATTTATATTCAATATATTGAAGTGTGCTTCATTTGATCTCTGTTATTTCCATGTCCATAGTGGATTATCATACAGCTCTGTTTTTGAAGTAGGTATGTAATTCACTGGTATTTAACTTCAATGTTACAGTAGCGTGTGGTCTCTGTTGAGCCTGCATCCTATTCTTAGCTACATGATGATTTCAGTAATATTTTGACACAGTAACATAGTTAATTATAATGGCTTCCTGACAAGAGCAGAATATATTCTGTCCTGTTTCATCACTCTCTACCAACTTGCTTGAAATACATATATTAAAGCTGTTAGCTCAAATACTTCTTTTACCTTTAAACTGTTGACTCATCAAATCCCAATATATCATCATAGAAAGGGATATGGTGGAAATAGCTGAATAAAAAGGTCACCAGGTATTGAAGTCTCTTGGTACAATAATCAATGCTTTACAGTGGAAGTGCAATAACTTCAGTATACATATTTCTGATTTGGTGAAAAACCTACTAATCTGCTTATGTTTTCTGCTGGGAGGGGAGAGAATAGATATTAGTAGATCCCTTAAACCCGATAAATACAGCAAGGGCTATCTGGACATTTTTATTAAGTTTGATTATAGAGACTCATAATTTGGTAGATGTAAAAACAGCCAGATCTTCCAAGTAGCTACCCACTGAGATAACCAAAAAAGAAACATAATCATTATTTTCTATTCTGTACACCTGAAGTTTCTTTAGTTTTTATATTTTCAGTAGTGAATCATCTAGCTTAAGAGTACAGTTATAAGAAAATCAATAACAGCAGATTCCAGTGTTAGAACTTTTTTTTTTTTATCCAATACTTCTATCCTTGAGGAGCGGTGACAATATCACAGGACTGTTAAAGTTTGCATTATCCAACTCAGAGGGAAGATTACTGCAATCAATTTGCCTAAAGCAAGTGGAATTTGAAACACTTGTCTTAGTTCCTCCAGCTTAGAAGTTATGTTCTTTTGGACTTCCACCTGCAGTAGCCCAGTAAGATTAGTTTCTTAAAGTTCCAATACTGGCATCTTATAGCACGTGTGCATTATTTGCTGGCCTTGACAGAATTGGGGAAGATATCCTGGACTAGGGAAGTATACTGTACTACTGGCTTCTACAGATTACATGTAGTATTTAGCAAGTTAAACCTCTGCTAGAGAAGGGGTTAACTGGCTACTAATTAAAAAGACTGAAGGCATGACATTAAAATGAAATGTTTTATCATCTTCATCTTCAGTGCCATATGGGAATGTTAAAAGTTAGAAATCTTTTTTTCCCATCCTTTCTTGTGAAGTAGCCACTCTATCATAGTTAGAGCCACGTGCTAATGCTGGCACTTAAATCTTTGAACTACTGAATTTATAATCATAACTGAGATGTCTCCTGTTAGTTATTTTTAGTAATTCTCAGCATTATGTACTTCATTTGCAACATTTAGGTTGTACTATCAATATTATTCTGCAAATTTTATAGAACCTTTTCACTTTCTTTTTGAAAGGAACATGTACCTTTCTGTATGTGGGTGGTGTTCATTGACTCAACAAAGGTTTGTATCAGGACTCAACAAGAATCATGTTATACTTGTCTTGATTATTTTCACTATAAGAACTTATTTTTTCATCATGATTTAAAACAAATACAACAATGGATAGTTTAAACTATATTTAATCCCCCCCTTTTTTTTTTGCTTAGAATTGCTAGCTGTTTGACAATGAGAATTGCTGTAATTGCTGTTGACAAGCATTGCTCTGTGTTTATTTTTACCATTTCAATTTTAGTTTAGTTGTGCTTCCTGACCCTCATTTGCAGTGGGCATGATATTTTGTGTATTTAAATTGGCAGAATTAGTCCTTACAAATTCAGCACAATGATGGGGATTAAAAGATTCTCAGAATAAAGCTGATGACTTTACTAGGGCTAGTGGAGAATCCAGCATACCCAACACTATAACATGATTTACAGATTGCTTTCTTACAATTTCCTCTCTGGGGAAGAAATTGTTACAGATTCATTCTCTGGCACTTTTCTTTTGTTTTCCATCTGTAATTTTCACTAATCTCATCCAGCAGCCTCTTGAATCATATTCATAGGTATTTCACAATTATATCAATAGTTTTAATGATTAAGAATAGAACATTTCTGTGTTATCAATTTCAAGAGCAAATGAGAAAAGTCAACTACATCTGAGAATTAATAAATAACATATTTATTACAATTCATTGAAGTTTTCTTACCTTCTCCAATTTTGATAGAGCAAGAGAATAGCAGTCTTTGGCCCTGAACTGCATGAATCTCATGTTGGCAGGATGAGTTAATTCAGTAATTATGCTCAGACTGGAGAATAACCTGTGTTTTCCCAAGAAGATAATATAGTTATTCTAATAATATCAGGTGGGTAAACATGGTAACATATACAGCCTCTATATTGCTCCAGCTGTATAATTACTTGCAAGGAAATGCCACTTAAAAAAAAAACACACACACAGAAAACCAAGAAGTGGGGAAAAAAAGGAAGAAAGGAAAAAAAAAGAAAAGAAAAATATTTGATGCAAAGATATAATATCAGTAAGTGGACAAAGAAGTTTCAAAAGTTGTACAGTTAGTACTCAGTATTAAGATGAGAAATTAACCATAAAAACCAAAACACATTGTTATTGTTAATAAGAAAAAGGATTTAAAAGATCTTTTTTAATCTTTGAGGTGAATGCCAAAGTCTCCACTATTGTGTTATTCAAAGATACAATTTTTAAAAAAGGAGAAAAAAAGTACTAAAAACATTATGGGTAAATATGTAGTTTCTCACTTCCTCTTTGTTGTATTCCAATTGATATACAATATTTATAAACATTTAAAATATTCATGTATTTCTGATTTCAGTTCTTTGGTCAATTCTTTTTCCCCTTAAAAACCATTCCCTAAATATTGAAATTTGCCTTGCTGTAATATATTTATGGAAGCCATTCTTGCTTAAATTTGGTCAAATTTCTATTATAAATATATGCTCTTAATTATAGCATTACTGTATCTTCTCTAAATTTAAGTCTCCAGTCTGATATTATTGGTAACATATCTCTTTTCCACTGTTCTGCTAAATTTATTCTTGTGACTCCGAACATGTACCTTCATATATTGTGATATTTTATTGATATGTTGAAGTATGCCTAGTAAAAAGAAAATGATTTCATTTCAAACTTTATTTCTAAAATTCTCTGAATAGTGCTGTGTATTTCTTTCCAGTACTTTTATTTATTTTTACATGTCTACCACATGTGGCAAAATGGTCTTTCTGTGTCATGGCATTTCCAGCCTTTATTACTATATGATTTGTCTATCCTGGAAATTATAGTCAGAGTTGTATTCTATCTATAAAATATTTTATACCAGTTTTCTCTTAAGTTATAACTTGGTGTAAATTATATAGAATTGTTCCACAGTTCCTCTCTTTGTTGTATTTGCATCCATTTTATCATACAATTTTTGATTTGTTCTGTCCCTGTGTCACATATCTTGATAAGTGGTCTTGATTCTGTATGAGTATTTCAACTTCTGTCATTTTTCTTAGAAGCCCTCCTGGAAATGCCACCTGTTGGCAGAAGCCAACTAATTCTTATAATGGGACAAATGTCATGCAGAGATTCAGAGGAACCATTATACTAAGTTAAAACATATAACATGTATTAACAGTTTAATATGAAAGAGAAATAATTGAATAGTAATTACTGTAACAATGATGAATAATTTGTTTGCAGTAATGGGACAGAACTTCAAACAAGGAAAATATGGAGGAACTAATACATAGATTGTCTGAATTGGCTATAAAATACCTTTACCAATACATAACATTATAACTATAATGAGAACTTAACTTGCAATTATGTATTTTGAAAACATCAGCCAGCACTTTGCACAGACATTCACTGAGAGGTTTTGTTCATTATCTGGAGAGACATTTAAAAGTATTTGTATCAAAGCTCAGATGGATAAGGTCTTTGGGGTAATACGTCTGTACTATGTGTAGAAAGAGAAGAAAATAGGGTTTTGTAACAAGGCAGAAGATGTTGTGATAGTAAGGGGCAATTATTTTGATTAAGGGAAATGCATTTCTGATGCTTATATACTATTTTCCATTTGGTCTGCTCCCCAACCATGGTAATAAAAGTTGTTCTCTAAATAGTAACATCTTTACAAAACAAGAATTTTATAGCAGTACAAGAATACTGAATGAGAATTCAGCAACATTTCCAAAAAGATACTTTTTTCTTTTTTTCCCTGAAGAAGCATGGATTTGGAGTGTCTAAAATAAAGCCTGTTCTACACAGTGAATTGCTAACAGATGATCAAATGAGGCAACTGGAGTTATGAGAAATTGCTATCTAGATTCCCAGGCCATGTTAAAGTACCTAGCCACTATAAATCTATGTTTTTAAAAATCAAATTATTATTATGCTGGGTCTCTTCATCATAATTGCCAAAGCCTCTTCTTTAAAAAACCTTTTTCTTGGATCTTCTTTTACAGTAGTTTCTGAATTATCTCCAGAGAGGCTCAGTATATTCACATTCATTTTATTTTGTATTTAAAAACTCAGATTACATTATGCTAGTATAAGAAACATCAAGATTACATTTATGTTTTCTTACTTATGTATGGATGTATTAAAATATTTTAAAAACTCAAGGCAAATTCCAATAATGTATTTCAGAATTCATAAAGCTATAACGATCTAGCCCAATAAAAAACCAAAATCCAATAAATCATTACAACTAATATCTGCATTATTTACAGTATCTGGCAACCAAATAATGGAGGGTTATTGCTGGACATATTCACATGCTTCTGTAAACTTGTATGTGTACGTATATATGACCAGTTGCTAGGATCTTCCATAGGGTGTAGTGGCTACCAATATTTACACACTCTTCTTCATGTAACAGCCAATTCTAATTTTAAATTAAGAGACATTCACTCAGTGCTGAATAAGTAATTCAAACAAGCAGCCAAGTTCAAGAGGATAAATTCTTCAACCACACTCAACTAAAAGAATAGGCTTCCTTTTCCATTATCAAACATGTCATTTATTAACTATACCAGAAGTTTTGAGCAGATTGTAAATAAGGCATCATATTTTCTCACAGCATTCTGGATTGTCCAAAATTCACTTTATGTATTTACCAGCAGAGTAATGGTTGTGCACCAGAAATGCAATGCAAAGTTCAGGAATCTTTTTCTCTTCCAATCTAATTAATGGAGGAAATTATGCTTTTCTCCTTAATTCAATGAACAGCAGAGCTATTTGAGCCATACCAATCATAGCTCTGTCTTCCTTGGTTGTTCTACCAATTTCTCCCAGTTGGTTCATTTTTTCCAGAACAACAACAACAAAAAAATAGAAAGAAATTCTGAACCAAGGTTTCAGCAGTTTGTTTAATCAAAATGAAGACTACAAATGTACATGTTTAGAAGCATTTCTGGTTCCTCTGTGGCAAATAATTACTGCATTAAATTTCATACTGAACATTTGTGAGCATTTGGGAATCTATCACATTCTGGAAAAAATGCAGTGATATATTTTATAGGAAGTGTCTACATTTTGTCTGTTCTTGAAGTTGAGGACAAGCTGACCCTCTTCTGTGTTTTGTGACTGCTGGCTTGACTATGATACCTGAACAGCTTTCATAATGTGGACACTGGAAGCTCAACGTGTTAGAAAATAAAGGAATAAGACAGGTATCCAACGCAGCATCCTTAAAACACTTAAATCATATTTTTGTGATTATTAACTGTAACAGTAATAATAATATGCCATCTGCATTACGTTTCCGTAAAGAATCAAAGCTCTAAAATAAAGCTAATCAATCACCACACTAACTCCGTACAATTGTAATAAATAAATTGCTGTTTATTAGCTAACACTGCACTCTTGTGGACTTTAAAAACATAAAATGGAGAAGTTTCGCAGGTATTTTATATATAGGAGCAATAAAGGTTAGTATCAGATCATCTGTCTTCTTGCAGATGTATTTGTAGGAGCACATTGCCAATAATGATTTTGAAAACCTAAATGGGAATAGAATGGAATTCTTTACATACTTACTTGGGAGTAAATCCATTGGACTCGATGAAACTATTTCCAATTGTAACATGTGAAAGGTAACTTTAGCTAATCATTACACCTTGATCCTATGATTTTGTTCCAGTGAGTAAACTGAATCTACCTTTAGCTAGTTAGGTGTCATCAAGCTGATTTTGATTCCTGGTGATTGTATGAACAAATGCTAATTATCTTTATTTATTTATCATATTTATCTGACCACCCATCTCACAAAACATGATTCTGGGTGGCATACAATCAGATCTTGAACTATATTTAGTCTTAATTTCTAGCTCTTACAAGGCCAGTTTCAGCAATCTCTTTGATCTTTCTTATTCATTGTCTGGCTTTTCTTCTACTTCCCCCAACCTTATCAAGTGTGTGTGTGTATGGGTGTGTGTGTGTTGTGTGTCCATTGGAGTTGGGTGGCCAATAAATTTAAATAAATAAATAAAGTATATCATGATCTACTTGTACCATATGCCCAAAGTATATGAGTTTCTGCTTGCTGATAATTGTTTCAAGAAAGAAGTCAGCCTTAATGTGGTCTAGGTAATGTAGTCTAATGTAGTCTAATGTGATAGTTGATTGGTTCTTCTTCAGTCCATGGTTCTCTTAGTAACAGTCTCAAAATCCATAATACCTTATTTCTCTTGCTCTTTCACAGCTCTGCATTGCTACTGGAAAGGTAATTCCTTGACTACTTAGATCTTTGTTGTCACTGAAATGTTCTTATTCTTCATGATATTGTCTAAATTTGTCATCTTTAGAATAATCTCCCTTTCATTTCACTAGTCATCTTTATCTGTTCAAAAATTTAAGAAAACAAAAAATCTACCAGCTTTACTTCTATACCATCAATTCTAAAACTACTAAGGTTAACAATATCTGTCTTCTTATATTTTTAACAATGACCTGGATTTTCACTTTCCATTTTCACTTTCTTAATGAGTTCTAAATCATCATCTTTACTTTTGGCTAACAAACTGGTATCATCTACATATCACAAATTGACTGTATTTTGACCTCCTATCTTGATACCAGCTGCCATCTTTCCAATTCTGCCATTCTAACTATATATTTGCTGGGTACATAAAATTGATAGATAGATAGATGGATAGATTTTACGTACACACACACACCAATTCTTGTCTCTCTCACTTCCTTATTCCAAACTACTTCTCTATAATCAGGTGTTCTGACACAACCATTAGCTTTAACATATGTTCCACATTCTGATATGATCTACATCAGGGG